GGATGTGGTTCGAACATGCGTGTAGGTGTATGTGCATGTGTGTGTGTGGGTGGATGGGTGGTTGGGACGAGTGAAATTGGTTTGGCCTTTGGGTCAAAACGTGTGAATTGGTCACTTGGCATTTGGGGTGGGGCGAGACTATTTTGTATGCACAAGTATTAATTGTTGCCATAACTGTGGAATGGCTACCCCATCAGATCAACTGATTGCCGTAGGTTCAGCGTTGATCAGGAGCGTTTCGGCTACCAAGAGGGTCGAAACGTTGTCACCAACGCCATTGTGTTTTGGTTCTCATTCATCGTGGCTAAGNNNAGCTAATTTCCTCAATCAACGTGCAGGTACTCCAAATTATCAATAGAACAATTGCGGTTTTCAAAGCGCAGGAACGACCTTATAGTGGTTTTGAGATATTTTTGGCTGAGTCGGTTGCGGGTACAAGCAACAATATCTCATGCCGTTAAATGTCTTTTAAAGTGACTTGGTGATTTTAACAAAGATACTTATGTGGAGCAATATCGTGACACTGAGACAACAATGAAAGAAGGTTCAGGCAACGAAGACACCTCGGGTTAAATGTGGTGGCACAATAGCTCATAGAATAAGCAATTTTCCAAAACATTTTTTGTGGATCCTGTTGTATAACCTACTTATCGTATATTTATTTTCGAGAATTCGTGCAATATAAAGGCTTTCATTTGGCATCCTTTAACATGACTAGGATGAGCAGAGCTTTGAACTAATCCATCTCCTTGATACCTAAATTCATGCATCTAGCTCCCTAATTGATCTGAGCTGCAGTCACGAAAGACCAGTTACGTCCACGTTCATTAAACAAACATACAAATAAGGGACTTCTAAAAGTGTAAAATTAAACAAAATCATGCGGGGTTTGCTCCGGGCTATCTGACGAAATATGTAGTAATCCATCGGTCATTCAGATAAGGATTGTCCAATTGGGGATTTCGGTGAGCAAGCGGGAAGAATGATAGATTCAGAACAGGCAAACACACTAGAGCGTTTGATGCCATCAAGTTGCAGACGTTGCAAACACTAACTACTCGTCTAAACGTTTGTTTTTATCCTTCACATTACCACGTGCTGTCAAGGGCATGCATTAGTTCGATGCCTTCGATATTTCTTCTGAGTACCGCCTGACGGATGTGATTATTTTTGTATGTGATCTGTCTCGCCTCCGCTTAATGTGTTATCCTTCCAGCTATGGCCAGGGGACAGATATGGCAAAGTGCACCTGTACCACTTGGAATAAAAATGACACCAGATACTCCTCACCACTGATTAGACTGTTTGTTAAAGAACCACTTAGTTATACGTCGCGGTTCAATGGTTACCGAATGGCATTCATTTACTACTGGAATAATGCTTCTTTGTTCAATAGTTGAAAAAGTGAGGAAACTTATTCCAAAACAACATCCGACTGAATGGGTTAACGCTATCAGAGAATGTTCCCGATTGATCTCAAAAGAGCTCGAACTGGTCATCTGATTTTGTTGTAACTGCACAGGATTTTCTCGATACAGGATTCTCAAAGGATCGTCTTTCGGGAACGTTTCTCCACCAGATAGGAACTCCACAGGTAATGAAACAGAACACAACTGAAAGGGTGTAGGGATTGATTTACTAAACAAGACACCATGGGCATTTATAGGGAAGAGAGAGGACACGGAAATGTATGTAACCAACGATTGATTGACTGAATTGTTATCAACCGTCTTGATTGGTTGGTTGTTCCAACTAATCATCTGAGTTGGCCTATCCTCGCTCTGATTGGTGGTTTCAGAACAAAGTAGTTTTCAGGAAAAATGCTGCCCCACTGAGGATTATTCAAGAGGCTTTGGATATGTCGAGTGTTCAAGTGTTCAAGTGTTCTCTATTTTGACATCTGAGGACGTGGTTCGATGTGAACTTGTCCTTCGATAAGCACTTATTAATTGCGTTATTTTACATTGTCAAAGCAAGTTTTATTGACGAGAAGTGTCTCCACAGTTAACAAACAAGTTTTTGCAAACGCTTACACTCGCGTAACAACGATAGGTTAACTAAGCTGACAACTGATTGACACAGCTCGTTGCAAAAGTTTTTTCACAAAAGGCGTTCCCTTTATTTCGCTCATTGTGCACGGGCATTTTTGGGTGATGTTCAATTTAAGACGATATTTATCTTAATACTACCTAGTTACCAACTTAATTCGGCCGCCAACTTGTCGCACCTCACCACCAAAACATTTTTTGTCTCCTTGACGTCAATCCAGAGATTGTGCTTATGAAAACCATCACAATCACCAAGTTTTTTTATGCGTGTCTTCTCCTTGATCCATCGCCATATGAAGAGATACCGTCGCTGGTACCGTATGCTAGCCTAACTTTGTCAGCTTAAAATATTCGGTGCACAAACCCATGATCAGACCCATGCTGTTGTCATGGCGCTGGCGTGCATTTTAGATTTCCTCGTTTACTCATTTCCAGATGAATCACCCCTGTGCCAAACTGCCAAATTTATATTCTGTTCTATCGTTCTACTTGTACGTAATCCTGGCTTTGCGAATCCGGCCCTCCTTCGTTGTACAGTAAGCTTTGAACCTCGTCTTTTAGCATGCCTTCTCGCGCCAATGTACTGCCTACCCAGGCTCGATATAGTCGCATTTCATGTGTTGCTTGAGCCCCTTCGCAGATCGATCAATTTGCAACGCCCCTCTTTGTTCCTCTGTATGAACCAACAAACCACCTCGTTGTTCTATGGCCTGATCGTTCTTCTTGCAGTTCAAGTATACCCGTCATTTTCCCACTTGGGTCTCTCGATTGGGTAGAGAATTGCAGAGCGTGTATATCCTGACTCGAATTTGCTCCCTTGACCGACTAAAGGGGAAATCCATACTGTTTGTGACAATCTATAGACGGTTGTTCTGTCCGAATACGGTAATAGTCACAGTAGTCACAGATCGGGACTGCCGTGACATGGCCGGTGGTTTGATGTCAGTCACGCGCTACATGATCGGCCGTATGAAACCCAGTGTCCACATTATTTGTCTTCGTGAAAGATAGCAAATGTGGTAGAGCCATCGTACCAACTGTTTGATTCCTCTACACGTTCAACGGCGGAACCAGTAAGATTTTCTTTGCATGAATTCCCCCCTACAAAAATGTTTTCCCTATAAGTTGTGTTTACATTTCCTAATCTAGTTCAAGTCACTCATGCTATACTGGGGTCAATGGATTACAACGATTTTCACATTCTGATTTTATTTTCACGCTTATTTTTCATCGGTTCATTGTGTTCTGAGAACATTTTGAAAGTGATTAATCAATCGATCGATCGATCGATCGATCGATCGAGCGGGCTTTACTTGTACAGCAGTTGAACTGGCCTTGACCACACAGCTTGAGCTCAATCATGCACCAAAATCATTTGTCTACGGGGCCACTAGTTTAAACTGATTCAGGATGTCTTCCAATTGTGCTTTCAGTTGATCATGACCTTTGCGTAGAAAATTTACATCATCCTCAGCGCGTCGTGTGGCCGCGGCCAAACGATTGGCTTCTTTCTCTTCCAACGCGCGACAATTCAACGCCTCGATTTGGATCTTTTTGCGCAGCTGGGCGATTTCCTGTTCTAGTTGTTGAATTCGTACGGTCTGACGATTTCGATCGGCCTCACGAGCCAACGATTTTTGCAATCCGAACACGACACCGGAAGCGTAAATTGATTGCAATGCGGCCAGTGTGGTGTCCACTTCGTTTCGCACTCGTAGTAACAGTAGACCACGTTCGGCACAGTGAATGGTCAATTGACGGATGAGCTCGTCGAATACCTGATTGGTATGAGAAACCCGTGACGTAATGGTTAACAGTTATGTGAATCAATTCAATCAATACTTCTTCGATTCACAACTGGTTTTATACATCCTACAGGATGGATTTTCCGCCCATGGTCATCGGTAATATTTATTATGGAATATGAGCATTGTTCCCTGAAATTATGTAAAATTGAATGGAATATTCATATTTGGGTATAGCAGTGTTCGTATGAAAATAACGTTTAGTACAAAGTGGTTTCAAGTTCCCTACTCACCAAAGCATCTTTACTGAGGTGTCTTCAAAGATTGAGTAGGACTGAGATGCAATGTTCGGTCGTCCCTGATAGAGTAATTTTTACTTACACCTGGTGGCTGAGCAAGACGTACACTTGGTAAAATTACTGTTTGCCGGGTGGTTTAATCAAATAGGATCTCGTTGTACAGCTTTAAACGTTGTAAATTCAACATTGTCTTTGGTTGGTGCGGCCCACCTTGTAGGTCAGTGGGGCTCAAGGGATGGGGACTATCGTTGGCGAGAGACACTGAAAAATATGGCTTGAAATAGAAGTCAGCGGGTACCAATACTATACGGTCCGTCTGTTGAAATCCTGTTCCCCATCAAATTTGACGGAAAAACACATAAGAAATATTAATAAACGCACGGTAAAAGAAACGAAAGAAAAATATTCTGTTTCTTTTAGTTCCCTGTAATTATTCGTTTATCACGTCGTTCTATTCTGCACCCCATTCTCATCCTTTTCTGTTAATTATTCTTGTTGCCTTGACACCGTGTCGCAGATAGTGATGTTTATGCATCTGTTCATAATTTTTGCAATCTCAGTCTATGCGAATTCTCTATCTTTTCTTTGATATTCCAATATTTCTTTTATCCCTTCATCCAAATGGGCAGCTAAAAGACATCAATCAAAACCGGCACACGAAAGTGCATAGTTAATGTTTGTAAAGACTGAAGCTGAACTGAAACCATGCTAATTTGCAAAACAGTGACATAAATCTGTAAGGTGTGAATAAGGGTACCATGGGGCCATGATCTAACTTTGATAAACTTACATGAAATGATACCGTTCAATGTAAAAACGGAGCAGTCAGTTGTAGGTGCACAATGCAAGAAAACTATAACCGTTTGAGTCTGCTATGAGGACGGTGTATTTTGCATACACCACTAGTGTATTCGGACAGGGTGAGGTATCGCATGATTCTGTCTGACGTATGAGCACTGCTGAAACTGGTCCGAAAATTTTAATATTTATGGCCGAGAAATGACTATGCTGTACGCAGTTATGTTAATGACACTGGTCACACATCACCAGCATAAAACAGTAACTATATTAACTATTAATCAAACTCGGGCAGCATTACTCTCATTTCAGAAATACATTTCAGTTTCCAATATCATCCTGGTATACTGATGGCTATAGAAGAAGTGTATTTATTCTAAACTTTATCTCCCACTGCAATGTTCTTAGTTCTCTTCTATCATCGTTTGAATGTACGCGACCTTAAGCGTTGCGATAAAATTTGAAATAGTTCGAAAGTTACAGTTCAGATTTTGAAAATATCTTTTGCAAAGCAGCACGGTAATTCATTCTTTCTAATGAATGATTCCTGTTTCAACAGATCGTTTATTAGGTTGAACAACCATATTCTAAATAGCTACTCTCTTTTCATTCAATGCAGAGTAAATAAACCGATTAATGAAAGTTTTCTAGCTTAAATAAATTGATATACTGCGTCTGGTGTGGGGCAATATGTTGGCGCGCCCTTCGATTGGCTGCGCTACATTTTCTCCCGCTCGGAATTATTTTTCTTTTCGTGAATACCACATAATGATCACTCGAAGGGTCTATTCGCGGTCTCAATTAATGAGTTTCAAAGATGATGCGCTCAATTCTGTGCCTTCAATGTCCTTATCGGGTCATTTTCGGATTCCAACTAAAATGAAGAAACGCAAGCGCGGTGGCTGGCAAGCAGCGCTTAGTCGCACACCAGCATCCAAAATTACTGTGCCCTCATTGGTCAGTACGAACATTCGGTCACTCTTCGCAAAGATGACGGATCTA